AAATATTTTATGGGTATCACTATTTCCTACTGAGTTATGTGCCTTTAAGTGTTTTCTGAAAGGCACCTTGTATGGGAGCTATGACCAATTATGGACCGATAGGAAAACAATTTCACAGTAATATTTCTCTGTATATGAGCAATACTTCTGCCAAACTTTATAGTTAGTAATGAGTTATGAGCGTTTAAGTGGTTTTCGGGAGGGGACCTTGTATGGGAGCTATGACCAATTATGGACCGATCGGAAAAAACTTTCACAGTAATATTTCTGTGCATATGGGTAATTTTTATACCAAATTTTATATTGATATCTTAATTAAGTAATGATTTATGCGCGTTTAAGTGATTTTCGGGAGGGGACCTTGTATAGGAGCTATGACCAATTATGGACCGATCGGAAAAAATTTTCACCGTAATATTTCTATGCATGTGGGCAATTTTTATAACAAATTTTATATGGATATCTTAATTAAGTAGTGATTTATGTTCGTTTAAGTGATTTTCGGGATGGGACCTTGTATGGGAGCTATGACCAATTATGGACCGATCGGAAAAAACTTTCACAGTAATATTTCTGTGCATATGGGCAATACGTATACCAAATTTTATATGGATATCTTAATTTAGTAATGAGTTATGCGCGTTTAAGTGATTTTCGGGAGGGGACCTTGTATGGGAGCTATGACCAATTATGGACCGATCGGAAAAAACTTTCACAGTAACATTTCTGTGCATATGGGCAATACTTATACCAAATTTTATATGGATATCTTAATTTAGTAATGAGTTATGCACGTTTAAGTGATTTTCGGGAGGGGACCTTGTATGGGAGCTATGACCATTATGGACCGATCGGAAAAAACTTTCACAGTAATATTTCTATGCATATGGGCAATATTTATACCAAATTTTGTATGGATATCTTAATTTAGTAATGAGTTTTTCCAATTTAAGTGATTTTCGGGAGGGGACCTTGTATGGGAGCTATGACCAATTATGGACCGATCGGAAAAAATGTTCACCGTAATATTTCTATGCATGTGGGCAATTTTTATAACAAATTTTATATGGATATCTTAATTAAGTAGTGATTTATGTTCGTTTAAGTGATTTTCGGGATGGGACCTTGTATGGGAGCTATGACCAATTATGGACCGATCGGAAAAACTTTCACAGTAATATTTCTGTGCATATGGGCAATACTTATACCAAATTTTATATGGATATCTTAATTTAGTAATGAGTTATGCGCGTTTAAGTGATTTTCGGGAGGGGACCTTGTATGGGAGCTATGACCAATTATGGACCGATCGGAAAAAACTTTCACAGTAATATTTCTGTGCATATGGGCAATACTTATACCAAATTTTATATGGATATCTTAATTTAGTAATGAGTTATGCGCGTTTAAGTGATTTTCGGGAGGGGACCTTGTATGGGAGCTATGACCATTATGGACCGATCGGAAAAAAACTTTCACAGTAATATTTCTATGCATATGGGCAATATTTATACCAAATTTTGTATGGATATCTTAATTTAGTAATGAGTTTTTCGCATTTAAGTGATTTTCGGGAGGGGACCTTGTATGGGAGCTATGACCAATTATGGACCGATCGGAAAAAATTTTCACAGTAATATTTCTGTGTATATGGGCAATACTTATACCAAATTTTATATGGATATCTTAATTTAGTAATGAGTTATGCGCGTTTAAGTGATTTTCGCGATGGGACCTTGTATGGGAGCTATGACCAATTATGGACCGATCCGAAAAAACTTTCACAGTAATATTTCTGTGCATATGGGCAATACTTATACCAAATTTTATATGGATATCTTAATTTAGTAATGAGTTATGCGCGTTTAAGTGATTTTCGGGAGGGGACCTTGTATGGGAGCTATGACCATTATGGACCGATCGGAAAAAACTTTCACAGTAATATTTCTGTGCATATGGGCAATACTTATACCAAATTTTATATGGATATCTTAATTTAGTAATAGTTATGCGCGTTTAAGTGATTTTCGGGAGGGGACCTTGTATGGGAGCTATGACCAATTTTGAACCGATCGGAAAAAATTTTCACAGTAATATTTCTATGCATATGGGCAATACTTATACCAAATTTTATATGGATATCTTAATTTAGTAATGAGTTATGCGCGTTTAAGCGATTTTCGGGAGGGGACCTTGTATGGGAGCTATGACCATTATGGACCGATCGGAAAAAACTTTCACAGTAATATTTCTATGCATATGGGCAATATTTATACCAAATTTTGTATGGATATCTTAATTTAGTAATAGTTATGCGCGTTTAAGTGATTTTCGGGAGGGGACCTTGTATGGGAGCTATGACCAATTATGGACCGATCGGAAAAAATTTTCACAGTAATATTTCTGTGGATATGGGCAATACTTATACCAAATTTTATATGGATAGCTTAATTTAGTAATGAGTTATGCGCGTTTAAGTGATTTTCGGGAGGGGACCTTGTATGGGAGCTATGACCAATTATGGACCGATCGGAAAAAACTTTCACAGTAATATTTCTGTGCATATGGGCAATACTTATACCAAATTTTATATGGATATCTTAATTTAGTAATAGTTATGCGCGTTTAAGTGATTTTCGGGAGGGGACCTTGTATGGGAGCTATGACCAATTTTGAACCGATCGGAAAAAATTTTCACAGTAATATTTCTATGCATATGGGCAATACTTATACCAAATTTTATATGGATATCTTAATTAAGTAGTGATTTATGCGCGTTTAAGTGATTTTCGCGATGGGACCTTGTATGGGAGCTATGACCAATTATGGACCGACCCGAAAAAACTTTCACAGTAATATTTCTGTGCATATGGGCAATACTTATACCAAATTTTATATGGATATCTTAATTTAGTAATGAGTTATGCGCGTTTAAGTGATATTCGGGAGGGGACCTTGTATGGGAGCTATGACCAATTATGGACCGATCGGAAAAAACTTTCACAGTAATATTTCTGTGCATATGGGCATACTTATACCAAATTTTATATGGATATCTTAATTTAGTAATAGTTATGCGCGTTTAAGTGATTTTCGGGAGGGGACCTTGTATGGGAGCTATGACCAATTTTGAACCGATCGGAAAAAATTTTCACAGTAATATTTCTATGCATATGGGCAATACTTATACCAAATTTTATATGGATATCTTAATTTAGTAATGAGTTATGCGCGTTTAAGTGATTTTCGGGAGGGGACCTTGTATGGGAGCTATGTCCAATTATGGACCGATCCAGAAAATTTTTCTTTGAAAGAATTCTATTGACATGAGATTTTAATTTGTAAAATTTTGTGAAATGCTTATTTTTTTCGAGGTTGTTTTAAATTTTTACTCATAGCTTTTTACGTTGTGAACCGATTTTGCTGATTTTCAATACCAAACTGCTTAGGATAACAATAAATATTTTGGGTGAATTTGGTTGACTTCCTTTGCTTAGTTTTAACGTGAGCGTGTTTTACACAGACAGACAGACAGACGGACGGACGGACGGACAGACGGACATAGCTAAATCGACTCAGAATTTCATAAGGACCCAGAATATATATACTTTGTTGGGTCTCAGATGAATATTTCTTGGTGTTACACACGGAATGACAAAGTTATATATACCCTCTATCACCACTGATGGTGGTGGAGGGTATAAAAATTGTAGACAACCTCGAAAAAATTATGTTCTTCAGTTGTTTTCACAGAAACTATCAAAGATTATTCAATATTTTTATACCCACCATCAAAAAAAAATGGGGAGAATATTGGTTTTGTCATTCCGTTTTTAACACATCGAAATATTGCTTATAGACCCACAAAAGTATATATATTCTGGGCCCTTAATAAAGTCTAAGACGATCTAGATATGTCTGTCCGTCTGTCTGTCTGTTGAAAGCACGATAGAGTCCGAACGGAACGAGCTAGAGGATTGAAATTTTCCACAAATATTTTCTTTAGTTAAGGTTTGTTTGGTATTGAAAATGGGCAATATCGGTGGTAGTTTTCGGATAGCCCCCATACAAGTGGACCGCCGAAAACAGGTTCAACCTTTAACTGTTACTGTTTTAAAAGTAGGAGTATAGCTATGAAATTCGACACAAATTAGTTCAAGTGATACATAATCTCCCTACCAAATTTTATGAGGTTCGGTCTATAATTGACGCTACCCCCATATAAGGTTCCCTTCAGAAAATGTCTTTAACGCTCATTACTGGCTTAAAAATACGAGTATAGTGATTAAATTCGACACAATACAATAGAGCCACAATCTCTCTATCAAGTTTTATGCGGATAGGTCTATAGTTGACCCTACCCCCATATAAGGTCCCCTTCAAAAAATGACTTTAACGCTCATTACTTGCTTAAAAATACTAGTATAGCAATGAAATTTGACAAAATGAAGTCTGTTATGATCCAAAACCTCTCTACCTAATTTTATGTGGATCGGTCCATTATTGACCATACCCCCCATAAAGGTCCTCTTCAAAAAATGATTATGCAGTTCGACACACATAAGTTTCATGCGATCTAAAATCTCTTTATCAAGTTTTAAGTGGATAGGTCCATAGTTGACCCTTCACCCCATATAAGGTCCCCTACAAAAAAAAAAGACTTTAACGCTCATTACTGACTTAAAAATACTAGTATAGCAATGAAATTTGACACAATTAAGTCTCTTATGATCCAAAACCTCTCTACCAAGTTGTATGTGGATCGGTCCATCGGTACCCCCAGAGTGAAAGCGAAGCTTGATGCGAGATAACGCAAGCAAAAGTTTGTAGCGCAAAGCTTCGCATCGCAGAAATGTCTGTCAAATTGGTTCATAATTGGTGATGGCACCCTCTTCCGAAAATCACATAAACACACAAATTTCATTAACTAAAATAAGTACTAAAATTCGACATATACACACATCATTAAACTTTAATTTTCTTCTTTTTTCTGGTTTCGTCAGCGTTTCAGGTGTTTGCCAAGTACTTGGTTGCTTTAATTCAATGGATGAAATTTATTTGGGTGAACGCTACGGCTATCGTTTATATGCTGAAGATGGTTTCAATTATATTACAGGTGGTGGTGGCATTGCATTCTCATTGCCAGTGGTTAAACTTATTTTGCAGCATTGTTCGTGTCCTTCAGCTACGGCGCCTGATGATATGATTTTGGGCTCTTGTTTGCATTCACTTCAATTGAAAGCTTTACACTCGTCAAGGTTTCATCAGGTAAGTTTAAATTTGCATTCGTTCATTAATATTTTATTAAACTTTAATTTTTCTCATATAATAACTATACATTATTTTTCTCTCCATTAAAGGCTCGCCCTAATGACTATCCCTTGGAGTTACTGCAGCAAGAGCCGCCAGTTTCGTTTCACAAATTTTGGCAACTTGATCCAATTGAAGTCTACAGTGAATGGTTTGCCGCTGAGGAACATCAACTGTTAGCTAAGGAAAATCATGTACATGAAAATCTTATTGATTTGGATTATAGTTCCAAGAATCGTAAACTGTTAGCCAAAACGGAACACTTGAATTTAAATGAGATTCCTGTTTCCTTGGAATCTTCATTTTATCATTCCAAGGAACACCATGTTGATCTTTAATCAAGTGTTTTTTTGTTATCTATGTAAATAAATAAGAAGTAATATATTTTTCTAAATATAATCTTTTTCTTAAAAATTATGAAAAAGTGTCCCAAGGTGAGTTAGGATCTGAACAATAACTGGTATTTTTAAGCCAGTTATGAGGTTTAGAGTATGGGTGTTTACTTTCAAAAAGCTAGTGCTATGTAATGATAAAAAATGCTTCCTCTAATAATATAGATTTTTTCATAATAATATTTTGAATTCTAGAACTGAAATTTTCTGTTTTAAACATTTGTTTGTCACCGCATATTTACGTTCACAACTTCCACCATTAGCCATTTACAAATATGGTGGTCATATTTATGCCGCCATTTGGCCATTACTTTAATTTCAATATTATTTTTGTAAAGTAGACAAAATATAAAACTGCAACTAGTGATTATTTAAATGGCTGTGGCAAACAAGGTTTTAATGGAAATTACGTGCAGAGGAATGTTTATGTGTGTGGGCAACGTTTTAAAATTTGAATTTTTAAAGGAAATTATTTTTAAACAGAAGTTTAGGAAACAATTAAAAATAAAATTACATTTAAATATATGTTTTTATCTTAATTTTACTTTAAACTTATGACTCAATAACAGTACTTGCTGTGAGTAAAAAGTAACAAATAATCGTTATTGCTTTTAATTTGTCAACATTAAAAATTGCTATGTTCGGTTGCAACAGCAAACAACTCGCATTAAAGAATTAAAATTTATCCCAAATGCCATGAAACATACTATACTTACATATCATACATATTTATGGTTGGCATGAATAATATTGTTAATTTGTTACCAGCACTACATGCCGTATGAGTTATTAATTTCTAAAATATATTATTTATCAAGTATACGTTGTGAAGTGCTTTTACCACTTGCTATTTTTTGTCAATAGTGAATCTGAATCGTTTTCCTTTTTTATACAGTTTGTGAACTCTTTAAGATGGGAAGTCAAATTTCAGGTCATTTTTCGAGTTACTAAATTGATTAGCAAGTTATTAAGAGTCATTAATTTTTGCAAAACATTTTTAAAACTGTACACTAATTAAAAAGCATCTCAAATTTGTTTAAATGTTCATTATAAAAACAAAATATTTAAATAAACAAGTTAGAGTGCTATATTCGGCTGAGCCGAATCTTAAATACCCTCCACCAGCTACTTTTATATTAATACTTTTCTAATTGATCAAATATTTGTAGAAATAAGATTTCTCATGTCTTAAATAGAAAAAACCCAAGATTTAAACAGCTTAAACCTGTTACAATTGCAAGATTTATTGAATATTACAAACGCCATTTTCTTTTATATTTTTAAAGCGCCCTAAGATATGCTTTAGCGATATTTAATAATTTATGTGAAAGATTTAAAGAAATTAAATTTTCGGGGCAGGACCAAGTATGGGAGATATGACCAATTATGGACCGATCTTAAAAACATCTTTAAGTAACATTTCTGTATATAAAAGCTATATTTCAGTCAAAATTTGTACACAGAAAACAGATCGATAGAAAATCGGTTACCATGATAAATATTTAGTTAAATTAATTAAAATTGTATCGCTGTTATTGAAAAACTGTATAATTAACTGATTTTCTATATTCAGTATTAAAAAACAATAATACCATTCGAATTGTGGTTTTAACAATTTCTAAATCAATAATTTGAACTGAATTGTATCGGTTATTAAATTCATTTGTGAATTCAGTAAATGCAGCCGATTTTATTTAGGATTAAAACGTAAGAACATCAAATATTAGTCGCTACAACCGAAAAACAATAGAAAGTAAAAAATATTGAGCACTGCAACCAATTACCAATTGAAAAAATTATTTAAAATTTAATTACGGTTAAAGGAACCAAATTCGATGTTCACAACCGATTAATTAGTAATTATAGTTGACGTATACAAAAATAAATAAAATAAAACGAATTTATAATATAAAAAAAACTAATTACATTTGAGGATAAATTAATGCAGAAATTTGGATAAAAAAGGTAATGTTTGGTATACAGTGGGACCTCGATTTTCCGTGATGGTCGGGACCGGAAACATTCTGTATAATCGATTTTCCCGGTTAATTGAATGCCAATTTTGGCTAGTTTTTTAATAGATATTTTTATTAATGTATTTTATATCTTATAATCTATTTTGTGTAATTGTTCTATAATTTTTAATAATTTTACAGCAGCGGAAAGGCGTAGAAAGATAGTGTTCGTTTGAAAATGTTGAGCAGAATCAAGAGCAAAATCCCTTGTACATAAATGCTATGTTTATTACCATGAAAGTTTCAAAACAAAAGGTGAGAAGTTATTTTATATTTATACGTTTTGTAAGTTTATACATATTTATATTTTATTGTAAATACTTTACACAAAATAAATATATTTTCAAATACACATAATCCACAAATTGTTTTTCTATAAATAATATTTCAGCTGCTAATACCAATAATTTCAATCCAGATTACCGAATAATAAATAAAAATAGTTGTGTACACCATATAATCAGTAATACTAGCCGAATTATACAATAATTACAATCGAATTTTGGGATAGTTGTTAGAACCGACTGAATTCGATTGAAAACAAATTCGGTTATCACAACGAATCTGTTTTCTCTGTGTATCTATATCGCAATTTAGTAATAAGTTGTGTGTGTTTAAGTAATTTTCGGAACCTTGTAAGGGACCGATCGCACCCATATTATGAACCGATCGTGAAAAAATCTTAAAATGTAATTTTTGTATACAAAACTAATATTTGTGCAAAATTCTGCGTTTAAGAGATTTTCGAAAGAGGACCTTGTATGGGAGATATGGCTAATTATGGTTCGATCGTAAAAAATTCCATAGTAACATTATATATACACAGAAAAAACTAAAAATATGTTTCAATTATCAAAATACACCTATCACCAAAATGATGATATCAATTATCAAATTTTTAAAAAAATTAAAAAAATACTTATTTTTCCAAATAACGAATTAATCAGAACAATTAATATCAATAATTGAGACAAAATTTAAAATTGATTAATTCATTAATTGTATAAATTAAATATTTAATAAAAATAAAATCTAATTTTTATTAATTTATTAATCAAATGAATTAGTTTGTTTGGTAGAAAATGTATTAAAAACCAATTCAGTTGATGATTAAAACAGTCAAATTATTAACTGATTACTCACAATGTTAAAGGAATGCTTGACCTTTAACAATGCGTTGAGCATTTACAAAAAATATCACTTTATTATCAAATTTGAACATATAAAGTGTTTTATAAATTGTCGGGAAACTTGAATATTATATGCCTAAATCGTATTGACTATTTAAGAGTTATAAACATTGTTAGCATAAGAAATCAAAATAAAATATTTAAAAAAAAACTAAAATAGAAAAGTTGGCCAGAAAATTTTTTTCAATCAATTAAAAAACTAATTGAATCAATTAAAATTTTAATCAAATTTGTAAACTTAGGTTTTATACAACGAGATAATTAATACAAATAAAAAATTGCTTAAATTAAAACTAAAGAAAGAGAAAAACATGTTGATTGAAAATAAACTACTGATAATTTTTTCTGTGTACATTTATGTTACTATGCACAGTGGGGCAGAATGGAAATTTTTTGGAAATAAATCTGGCATTTCTAAACGGCTGATCCGATCGGGATAAAATTTGGCGTGAGCGTAGCCAAGGAGTATTCGAGTTTAAGTTTTGAAGATGAACCCTGCAGATGCCCCAGGGACGGCGCTGTGGCGGCTCAAAGTAGGGTACCTACGACATGTAAAATTTTTAAACTCGTGCCATTTTTTTGTTTTTCACCCAAATACAAAGATTTTTATATTTTGTGAAAGCACTCGACGAGATCTTGAAAAAACATGCTTGGACATACTACTTATCTCTTATAATATCCGAGTTATAGGCATTTAAAAATTTAGTGATACAAAATTTACCATACCTTGGTCCGCCTTTTTTTGAATACCGGGCGTAATTTTGGACCAAATGGATTCAATTTTTTCTTGTTAGTTAGACAACAAAATTTCCAATAATATACAAAAAATTTCAGATCAATATCGTTTACAGATCCAAAAATATACGTTTTTAAATTTAAAAATTCAAAAAATTTTAGATTTTTGGCGTTTTTTTGCCAAAAATGTGTCTTAACTCTTTTATTAATAAAATAAAATTTTTATTAAGAATATATAACAATTTTATAGTTTTCTAAAAGGTACCTTTACGCAGAACGCTTTGGCGTAAAAAACTTGTCCTATTTTTTGAAAATGTTGCCACTGCGTCCTTCCGAATATGACCTATTTTTTATCAAAACTTCAACTTTGGGCGACATGTTCTAAAATCCCAAAGCTGGGATCAGAAAACTGAAAGCAGTTTTGGAAACCTCAATATGTTTTCTATTTACTCCAAAAGTATTTTCTCAGCCCTGAAAGAAATGTGGACCCTATGGGCAAAAAAGTAAAAAATCCCATTTTTGGGATTTTCATTCCTATTTTTGGGAATTGCGGGATGCCCTTTGGCCTTTTCAATTTTTTTTTGCATATTCTTATTTGAAATGACAAATTTAACAAGCGTTGAAAATTTCATTGAGTTTTGTTCATAAATAAAGATTTTGTCATATATTACATATTTGTTTAATTTCTAAAACTATGATTTATATCAAAATTTTAATAGGATCGCAGATAGCTACAACAATTTAGTCCATATTTATCCCTTAATATCATTTTTTAGTTAGATATGGAAATTCTCGACCCTTTACAAAAAATTTCAAGCCAATATCTCAATTACATTCAAAAATATGTTTTAGTATTAAGTATGACAGCACATATTTAAATCTTATATTTACCTATTTTCTATTTGTTTGCTTATCCTTATAATTGAAAGGTCCTATTATGCTTAAATTTTCAGAAATTTATAACTATTTTTTACCTAAATTTTTTCGACAGATCATTTCGTTCTGTTTCGTTTATGATCATGTAGGTAAAAATATACAGGTAATGATAATTTCGATTCATTCACTA